CTACACTCACTCGCTGTAACTCTCCCCTTCTCCACGACCCCTAACACACACACACACACACACACACACACACACAAACACACACACACACACGCAACACACACGCACCCCCCCCACACACAAACACACCACGCACACACACGTACACACACAACACCGCACACACACACACACACGCACGCCACCCCCCCCCCACACACGCACACACACACACACACACACACACACGGCACACGCAGCTACGCAACCCCCCACACACACACGGTACTGCCCACTCCCCCCCCCACACACACACGCACACACACACACACACACACACACCACACGCACCCCCCCCCACAACAACACGCACCCCCCCCCCCCCCCCCCGCACCACCCCCCCCCTGTGCAGCTACTGTTGAAGAATGTTATATGATTTCCTGCCACAGCCACCTTAAGCTCTTTTACCATTTCCATCATACCACGTATCTACCAGAACCAGATGCCACGCTGAGCCCTTTTGTGTGCCTTGGCTGTTCTGTGGTGTATCTGAGGCCGAAACTAAATTGCATTTATATTATTGCTATTCTTATTTGGATTATCGTTATTATTTTCTATTGATATAACCATATTCTTATTTGTTTTATCGTTATTATTTTTTATTGATATAACCATCTTAATTGTTTTTGTTATTATGATTGTTATCATTATTATTATCGTTTTCATTGTTATTATTTATTATTGTTATTATTAAATTTATCGTATTCATTATCATTTATTACTTATTATCATCAGCACCATCATTATCATTAGTATTATCATCATTGTTGCTAATTATAATCATTATCACAACTATCACTATCGTTTTTTTATCATCGTCAAGATGTCATTATTACAATAAGGATTTTAGAATGATTATTTGGGTTAATATCATCATTATCATTATCACTGTAATTTCTGCTTTATCATCATCATTGATATCATTACTTCTACTACTGCTGCTGCTGCTACTGCTACTACTACTATTATTATTACTGTTGTTAGTATTACTTCTAATGCTATTATTATTACAACTACTACTGGTTCTACTACTACTGCTACTACTATTGTTAATATTATTATCATTATTATCATCAATCATCATTGCTATTATTACAATATCATTGTTATATATTATTTTTATTATTATTATCATTATTATTATATTATTATTATTATCATTATTATTATTAATCATTATTATTATCATTATTGTTGTTGTTGTTGTTATTACTATTACTATTATTTCACTATCATTCTCATTATTATTGTTATCATCACTGTTTTAACCATTATTGTTATTATAATTATTCGCTGTAGTAGTAGTAGCAACAGTATTTTTATTATCATTATCTCTCTTATCATTATCACTGTTATTGCTATTACTATTATTATTTCGTTACTATTACTATCATTGTCATTATAATTGTTGTTATCCTTAATACTATATATTACTATGATTAACATTATTGTTATTGTTATTATCATCATTATCATTATTATCATTATTTTATCTGTTATCATTATTATAATTATTTTATGTTATCATTATGATTATTATCACCGACAACAATAATGCCATTAATGAATATGCTGATAACAATAATGAAATAGATAATACTGATAATGGTAATAGTAACAGTAATATTAATGATGATAATTATGGTAATAATCATAATAGTATTGATAATGATAATAACAATGATAATAATAATAATTATAATAATAATGATGGTAATAATAATGATAATGATAATGATAATAGTGATAATAATAATGATGATAACTATATCGACAATAAGGATAATGATAATACTCATAATGGTGAAAAGGTTGATAATAATCATAATTCTCACAATGATGCTAATGATATTAAGAATAGTGAATATATTGATGATTACTATGAAAATAACAATTATTACAATGATAATAATGACAAAACTAATATAATATCAATGATGATATTAATGATGATAATGAACACTATCATCTTTTTTACCATTATCATTATTGTTATTACTATCATAAGTATTAATATCAGCAATACTGCAACAACAGTAATACTGATAATGATAATAATGATAATCATCATTTCATTTATAAAAATGATAACAGTAAAAATATTGATGATACTAAGCAGCAGTAGTACTGAAGTAGTAACAGAAACCATAGTAGTAGAAGTAGTAAACAGGGAATAAGTATAATCAGATAAAATGGCCGACGAATACACATAGGGAGTAAAACGATTTAAGAAGGATAATGCTAAAGGGAAGCTGAACAAGCAGAAATTATTATTATTATCATTTTGTTATGATTGTCATCATCATTATTATTATTAACATTATTATTATCATTATCATTATTATCATTGTTTTAACCATTGTTATTATCACAAATATTATTATTATTATTGTTATCATCACTATTATCATTCTCATTATTGTTATCATCATTATTATCATTGTCATTCTCATTCTCATTATCATCATCGTTTTAACCATGATTCTTATTATCACAAATATTAACCCGAATAATAGAGAGACAAATTCTGTTCTCAGGTACGCCTATACCGGCCGCCCTGTGGTCATAACGGACGGACAGAGGAACTGGTCGGCGCCGCACGTGTTCTCCTTCGAGTTCTTCAAGTCGATCTACGCCGACGATTCCCCCGTTCTCGAGAACTTTGAGCGCGACTGCCAGTTCTTCCCGTACCAGACAGAGTTCAGGAACCTTCGTCACGTGTTCAACATGACGGCGGATCGAGTGAACATGCGTGGGGAACCGTGGTACATCGGATGGTAAGTGTGAGGTGTGTCTCTTCGGTGGGTGTGTGTGTGGGGTGTACGTGCTTTTGGGCGGTATGGGCGTGTGATATATGTGTGTCTGTGTTATGTGTGTGTGTTTTGTGTGTCTGTTTTATGTGTTATTTGTGTGTCTGTTTATGTGTTATT